CCCAAAAGAACTTAATTTCCATATCTTTGTAGAGTTGTCATCAATTACCAAAAAGAAGGAGATTGAAAGGTCCTTATGTGGTTTTGGTAATTGAGTGACAACCTAGGTGGACAAATTGTGTTTATGTGAGATACATAGGTGATTAGTCCACAGGTACATAAGTGTGAACAACATATGCCATGAAGGTGAAAATGGGGCGGAGATGTTGCAAAGCTCACACATGTGATAATGAAGGAGCTCATTGCACATGAGACATGACATTAAGTCATGTGATCAAGGTGGAGAAGATCAAGACAAGACATTGACTTAATGGACCGGTTGCAAGCGTGAAGGGCAAGTCGGAGGCTTTGGAGCGATGGATCGCATGGCGGTGAAGCTTAAGCAAGACATGGCACCGATAGATGAAGGCAACGGTGAAAAGCAAGTAAAGTCAAGATCGATGAACCAATACGGTCATGTGATGATATGAAGTGGATCATATCATTTGGTGATTGGTTGGTGCATGTGTTGCATCAACATTGGAGGAGATGGAATGGAATGCGCAAGGCAAAGGTATAACCTAGGGCATTTCATTTCACCGGTCATAGGTGTGTAGAGAAGTTTATGACCGGGTTTAGGATAGATGGTCGTACTATCAAGAGGGGCAAACTTGTTTGCATATCGGTCATCTAGTGCCACTCGTGTGATCTAACTTTGCATCGTCGCTAGGATCGAGTGGCGTGACAAATTAAGTGGCTAAATCCTTTGGAAAATGATTGTGAAAATGCTAACACACATACACATGGTGGTGTACACTTGGTGGTGTTGGCACATTTACAAAGAAGATGAAATTGGAGTTGATGTGGATTAACTCGGTGATGGAACGGAGGCGAAAAAGGTTCGAAACTCCACCGCGGAGTGTCCGCCCATAGAGTGCGGACATACCAATGGTGCCACCGGCGCCCTATATAGAAAAGACAGGGTTTCACAGTGTGCACCGAACGCTGGTCACGTAGTGACCGGACACTGGGGTCCTGCGTCCGGTCAGTGGCAGCAGTGAAGGCGCAGGCGTTGGTCTTCGACCGGATGCTAGGTCACTTCGTGACTGGACGTTGGGTGGCTGCGTTCGGTCCTGCTGACGTGGTAGCACAGAGAAGAGGAGAAATGACCGGACGCTGATGCTACGTCCGATCCTGACCGACCGGACGCGTCCGGTCAGGAATTTTCACCTCTAGAAGCTTATAGGAAGTGACCAGACACTAAGGTCCTGCGTCCAGTCACTTTGAGTAGCTGCGTCCGGTCATCACTTGACCGTTGAGATCAAGAGACTGAGGTTGAACGGAGGCGACATGTGGCGAGCATCCGTTGACCGGACGCTGAGGTCCTGCGACCGGTCTATATGACCGGCGCGTCCGGTCAACCCGAAAAGCGCCCAGTGAAGGGGTAACGGCTATTTTAGCCCATGGGGCTATAAATAGAAGGGGGTCTTGCCCATGTCTTGTGTTGAGCACCTCGGGGGACTTTTGTGTCCATGCTTGAGAGTGCTTGGGAGCCCTCCATCTCACATATACTTGATAGTGATCGTCCGATTGTGTGAGAGAGCGATTTTAGTGCGATTGCATCGAGTGGCACTAGATGATCGAGTTGCAAGCCGGTGGTGCTTGTTACTCTTGGAGGTTGCCACCTCCTAGACGGCTTGGTGGTGGTATTCGTTGAAGCCCGCAAGAAGCTTGTGCGGTGCTCCAGAGAAGAGCTTTGTGAGGGGCACTGTGCTGGCCCCACGGGAGCCGCAAAGAGCAACTCTAGTAAAGCGTGTCATTGAGCTACCCTCACTTTTGGGGTAGGTTCTTACGGTGTCCGACGTGCGGGCTTGGCAGGTGATGCCAATTAGCCGCCGAACCACCAAGTGAGCGGTCGACACAACGGGGACTAGCGTATTGGTAAACACGTGAACCTCGAGAGAAAAAAACACCAGATATCTGAAATACAAGCACAGACCCATTATCTCTCCCAACAAATTCTGGTACTGAACATCATAGAATTGCAGCTTAGCAACCATTAGCCACCAGAACAAATGAGGCACTGTGGGTGTCCTGATCCTGAGGCTGTAGGCAATATAGGGCATGTTACTGATGATGTATACCAGAGATAACCATGGGGGCTTCCATTGCACTGGCTAATGGTAGCAGGTGAATAACAGACAGTACAACTCTGTGACTAGAATAGCAATATGCAACTGAATCAACCCAATGGCCTCCATTTTGATAGAATCAACTTGCCCTGCACTTGCAAGTAACTGAAGACAATCTGCACAGCATGCCCACCATGACTCATAATGGAGAGGCCAGACTAGGAGCTTATGCACTGAGCAGCTAAACTAAACCCATATCACCATGCTTGAATGTGGACAGACAAGGGCCACTATGAGACTGCTCTGATGTCTGTGCCAATTAGGCCATGGTTTCAACTCAATCTGCAAGGTTAGTGAGTGGATTCCCAACACAAAATTTGAGATAACTACTTGCAGTAGTGTACAAGGGAAGATGACAGTAAATATGAATTCGCCCTTAATGCTCTTGCCACAGTCAAACACACAGGAACCAGTAGAACACACTAGTAGCGAAGTACAGTAGGGTAATCGATGGTGGTGTACATGTTTGTTATTCCATCAAACACCAACTGAGCACCCAGAGAGGTTAGTGGCAAGAGCAACGCCAGAGCTGAAAAGTCCTTGGGTGCAGCCTCACTGTGCAGGCATGCAACCGGAGCATGGTCATTGTCGGTGTTGACAGAGAGGCAATGTGTCGAACGCTTGGTGGGCGAAGTGTTGATGGCATCGTCCTCTGTGCTTGAGATAGCTGATGCTGGTGTGGCCACGTGGTGAACATCGATGGCGACCCACAGTCGGTGTAGCGGTGGGCTCGGCCGGCGAAGTGGTCAGAGCGGTGTATGCCGGTGACGTCGTGGCGTGGTTGCAGTAGGAGGACCACGTGACTGCGCACTCGTCGATGGCACTGAGCATGGTGATGGGTGTACTCACTGCAGTACGTGCGGTTGTGGATGACGGTGCCGCAGCTGTTGGCACCGTAGTCAGAGTCGAGGACGCCGGTGAAGTGGACAAAGAGGGCGCGGACGATCGTGTTGCAGATGCGAGGGTGTTGAGAGTACTACACATCCCCGTGTTCGCTTCCTCCATCATCTGCAGCAGGCGATCCATCATCGCCTCGAGCCCGGCAATGATGGCGACGGACGGTGTAGATCTCAGTTGGGCCATACCGAAACACCAAGCAGCAAATCCACATGATCTCGATGAGCACGGTGATCAGCCAACCACGACAACCACAGAATCTGCCGAACTCAAAGAAATTTTCCCCAAATTCCACAAAATTCGAGCAGCTGTCGGTGGAGAATTTTAGGGCCTCCACGCACGCACTTCCTCGATCGATGGCTCTGGTACCAAATATCACGATCCTTGAGGTAACTACCAGCGTACACGCACGTCGGGGCAAGATCGGCGGCGCTGTCTCTGGAGAAGAACGGAGAAGAGGAGAGAAACAGAAGGTTTGGAGGTAGTAGATTAGTTCATTTCATTATCGATACCATCTACAGAGCAGCCAAAGGTATATATGGCTTCATACATGGGCCAAGTCCAACGCAATGAAAGGCACGTAGGCCTAAACCATGACCCACTCCCTAATACTATTACAGGTCCATGTGCTAGGTCATGATAGATCCATGTGACGAAGAGCTATAGCTAGCCTGCCCCGCGAACAAACACGTTATTTTACGAAAGCGACCATGCCAAAACGACTCGGACATCGTTCTGTCTGTAGACCGGCTTTACATGTTGATATGTTGTACTACCACAAGGTCGATCCCCCGCAAAAGCTAGCTACCTCCTAGCCAATCAGGTCTCTGAAAGGTCTCATGAATTGGGTATCACCTCAAACTTAATTCTTAGAGCTCAACTTAAAACTAAAACTAAAAAACTATAAATTATTCTAGCAAGATGTGCACTGATGGTTTTTTTAGTGTGTTCTAACTTACCTGCAACCCAAAAAGAGTTTTGCAACCTACAGTCAATCCTATGAACTAGCCTATAGTTAATCTAAAAAGATGAAAGCCACACAAGAAAAATCACACACGGAAGCAATAAATGTAGTAAACAAAGAATTTAAGATAGATAGGCAAACTCTCAAAGATGCGACGGTATATCTATATCTTGTGGTATCACTAGACAAAACACCACCCCTAGTCCATGTTAGAGTTCCGCCGAGGTACACCCACCTGGCCATGGTGTTGAATTTGCAACACAAGGCATTCCCCAACCATGGACTACGTCAGCTGATCGTTGACTCTTCCGATCACCTTGATATACCTTTACACTATGGAGCTTCTCCACATTAGGGAGGGGTCTCCTCATCCTCTGCACAATGAATAACGAAGGTCATGAAGACATCAAGTGCTCCGGCTCACCAATATAGAAGGGCGCAACAACAAAATCTTATTTTCTGCATCTAGGTCACACAGAAAAGAAGAGGGTCGCTGGCTATAAGGCCATTACGTCATCAGTGGGAAGTCGAGAAGACCTCAAGTCCTCAGCCTCCGGCTCACCGATATACAATGAGTACTCAAGGACGCAACACAGTTTAATCTTGCTCCACCCAAGACACGGATTCCATCGTTTTCGAAATTTAAAGGAGGTCACACAAGGTCACCGATTGAAGGAGGATGTAGCTTCGAGCAAATTTAGAGGATGTAACTTAGATTTTCTTCTTCTTCTTCTTCTTTTCTGCATACTTGCGCTATCTGCGTAGCACTGGTAAACTGTAAACCCTGTCCGGCGAGCGGGAAAATGCGCAGTATTTCGAATAAGGCCCGGCCTACAAATGATCCTGAGAAAAAGGCCCATAATCACAAAGACGGCCCAGCAGCAGAACTCTAGGCCTTCCACTCCACTCCACTCCACACTCCGCCGCAAGCATCCAACTGAGCCCGCAACCAGCAGCATCGCCGACCGGATGCATCTCGCCGCCGACCTCCCCCCGCACCGGGGCCGAGGCGGCCCCGGCACGGGGCCCATCGCGCTCGCTTCCGCCCTGCTCCGGCGCGAGAACCACCGGCGCCGCGCGCTCGCCTGCGGGGCCGTCCTCGCCTCCGCGCTGCTCCTCGTGGCCACGCCGCGGTTCCACCACACCCCTGCGCTCCACCTATTCGCCGACATGCGCAATCTCCTCGGCGTGCCCAACACGCTCAACGTGCTCACCGCCTACCCGCTTCTACTCGCCGGGGTCCCGGGCCTCGTCCTCTGCCTCTGCGGCAGCGGGTGCTTCGGCGTCAGGTGCCCCCCTTACTCACCCACATGTCGTTTGACGAAATGTCTTACTAAACAAGTTCGTCTTATGCCCTGGTTTAATAATTTTCTTACACGTGAGTCAAGTGAACACATCGATAATCCTTAAATTGAGGAAATTGTGTGGATAACCAATGTTTTTAGTTAGCATAGTAGTTGACTAGTTGTGAAAGAGACCGCTCTGTTCAGTTATTCTTGAAAGCTTCGGGAGGCAATACGAGTAGCTATTGCTACCGTGTCCCAATGAGGTTCCACTAATTCAGTGGATTTTTGAGTTAAATGGGAAATGCCAATGAATCATATTGAGATCCTTTGCTGTTATAGGCACTTAAGCTTGAATCGGTCAGCCATGTCTTCTAGCATCTGCTTGCTTTGCTTCAGAATGTGCAATCCAGTCTTGCCACAGTATAGAATGGTCCGGATACTGGAATTTGAATCATGGGTGTTCAATTAAATGTAGGCTGATATGCTTCAATGGAAAGCCTATAAATGAAATGTGCGTGACCTTCCTGCTTGTTCAGATATGCCACTTCATGTGAAACTAATCTGGTTTTCTGTGAGGTGTGCTGCTTCAAGAAATTTGCTATCACGAATGATAACATGTTACTTTGTGGAATCATGTAGCTTGAGGTGGGAAGCCTTGGGATGGTTCCTCTTTTATGCTGGGAATGTAGCAGCAGCATTTGGCTCGGCTTACTATCACCTCAAGCCAGATGATGACCGCTTAATATGGGACAGGTTGCCGGTACCTGAATACTACTTTCTTTCTGTCATCTTCTCTATTGTTTACTCCTTCCTTTTTTTGCATGGTTTGGAGTGCATTTGGTTTTGAGAGATTAGTGTTAAAAAATGCATTTATACACTTTAAATCCAAATCTTTGACTATAGAAAAACCGTGCACACCTGGGTTTTCAGGGTTTTAAGTTGAGACTGCCAATTGCTAATAAATGATCTGAACTGAATAATTCATTTGCAAATAGACAATGAGATGGATGAATATCGAATAGTTTGTTCTGGTTATGGATACTTACTGGATGCTCCTGCGATGCAGATGATGATATCCTCCTCCTCACTTTTGTCAATATTAGTAATTGAAAGAGTTGATGAGAGGGTTGGGCTATCTTGTTTGATCTCACTCCTATCTCTTATATTAGTGAGCAGTGCATGTGAAAGGTATAAATATTTCTGACACTCCTTCAGCTTGTTCCTCTTATGGTTTATCTCGAAATGAATACTGGAAATGAGTCATCATCATTATGTTCTTCTGGCTGATTAGGGTTCTTGATGATATGCGTTTATGGGTGATTCTAAACTTTGTTCCTTGCATCGCCATTCCTGCAATGCTATTCTTGTTTCCTCCCAAGTATACACATTCAAGGTTTTGGTTCCTTGCTACAGGTAGCTGTAACCGACCCACTGCAATCAAAATCTGTTAGCCCTTAGCGAAAACTTTTATTTGATTCACATCTGGGTGCAGGCTTTTACCTTCTGGCAAGATTTGAAGGCCTTGCTGACAGGAAAGTTTACAGTGTGAACCGGTACTTCATTAGCGGCCATTCCCTGGAGCACCTTTGCTTTGCCCTGGTGACGTTTATACTAACTGTGATGCTGTCCTTCAGAAATATTAAGATTGCCAGGTAACCACATGATTAAATGTTATGGTACTTGAACTCTTTGAATAAATGTTATGAACACATGATTGTCTAGGTGGGGTGGATGTCACCGAGGAAACCATTGTTCAGTTGTCACCTTCAATCTATTAAAAATGCTAGGATGGATGTCTCTCCCCCTAGTCGAATTTTTCTTATGAACACATGACTATTCTTCTCAGTTTTCACTGTGATTACTTGAGATAGCATATTCGAGCATGAGTCCATATTTGTTTGAGCAGCTTTATGTGCTTATACGCTTTCACGTTTAAAACTTCCGTACCATTTCCCTGAAGTGCAAGCAGTATCCTCCTTTTTTTTTGTTAATGATTATTCTGCATCTTCTCCACAGGGATTCCTGACCTGTTGCTGATTGTAACATGGGTGCAGAAATTCTGTGAAAAATTTGCAAGTTTGGAAGACGGTCTCAGAGGACAAAGAGAGCCGACTAGATTCCTAGTAGATAATCTACCTTAACATTGTTCCGGTTGCCGGGGTTGATTCACCCTTCCCCGTGTTGTTTCAGACTGATGGTGGCATAGGTCATATAGAGGGCGCAATTTATTGGTCTGTCCAATTCATATTGTGAAAGATTATCTGTGTCCGTAGTTTTGTAGACATGGAAAAACTGGACGGGGAGATTGCATTGTATACAGATATCCAACTGTGAAATGACTTGTTCTGTTATTGTGCCATGCGTGCTCTTGTGATAATTAGCTGTCGTCTGAGACTCAAATCTCTGCTCTTCCTGAGTTCTTGCTGTTCTACGGTTTATCTGTAGTTTTATGATAATCGATTATTTGTCCACTTCGGTGTGGATTTTTTTTAAATGTTTTCAAATATGATGTGGATATAACTTGAAATTCAAATAAGATTTCATTTTAACTAAATCGAAGACCGGATTAGTCTTTGAAGGAGAATTTTTAGCAGACCTCATGGTACGCTGATCTGATCTCTATGCGTCTCCTCCGCGCGTCCTCCACTGCTCTCCGCGCGCAACCGCCGCCTGATTTCTGCCATCGCCGTCGACCAGCCAATCCGTTGCCACCCGCCGATCGACAGCGCCGTCCCATGGAACAAGCTCCTCCGCGACCACATCGCCGGCTCCCGCCCGGGCCTCGCCCTCGCGCTCTACCGCCTCATGCGCGCGCTCTCCCCCGCGCTGCCCAGCTCCTACACGCTGCCGCTCGCCCTCCGCGCCGCACCTTCCTGGCGCCTCGCCTCCGCCGTACACGCCCACGCGCTCCACCTCGGCCTCCACGCTCACCCGGACGTCGCCGGCCAGGTCCTCGCCGCCTACACCAGGCTCGCCCGCGCGGCCGAGGCCCGCCGCGTGTTCGACGCATTGCCGGTGAGGAGGAGCACCCTCTCCTGGAACACGCTCATCTCCGCGTGCTCCGTCGGGCTCGGGTGCGACCCCGACGCGGCGTGGGCCGCGTTCGCGCGCATGGTGGTGGCCGGGGCGCGCCCGGACGCCGTGACGTGGACCACGCTGCTCTCCGTGCACGCGAGGTGCGGGAGGCACCCAGAGGCTCTTCGACTGTTCGGGGACATGCACCGCAGTGGGTGCGAGGGCAATGCCGAGGCCGTCGCTGTGGCGCTCTCGGCGTGCCCGTACGCCTGCGGCCCTGCACTGGCGAGAGGGAGGTCGATATGCCTATGGCTTTGTGAAGAGCGTCGTCCATGGCTACCTGTTCGTCGCCAACTCACTGGTCTGCATGTACGGCAAGCTTGGAGAGATGGAGGCGGCCGAGAAGGTTTTCTGGGATGCTGGGGCAAAGAAGAATGCCGTGACATGGAATGCTCTCATCACTAGCTACGCTGCTGCTGGGTTGTGCGGTGAGGCGCTCGGTGTGCTTGCCCAGATGGAACAGTGTGGAGGCATGGTCGCTCCCAATGTCGTGGGCTGGAGTGCTGTCATTGGTGGGTTCGCGTCAGCAGGGGACATGGAGCAAGCACTGCAGCTGTTCCGACAAATGCAGCAACAGTGGCTTTTGCCCAACGTGGTGACATTAGCGACAGTTCTTTCAGCTTGCTCAGAATTGCTGGCGTTGCGGCTGGGTCAGGAGGTCCATGGTCACACGATCAAAGCAGCCCTAGACCGCCACTCGCTGGTCCAGAACGGTCTGGTCAACATGTACGGAAAGTGTGGGAGGGTGGCTGCTGGGCGCAAGGTGTTCGACCGGATGAAGAGCAGGGACTTGATTTCATGGAACTCGATGATTGGGAGTTATGGCACGCATGGTTTGTGTGACGAAGCCCTTGCAATGTTCCAAGACTTGACCGGGACTACAGTTGAGCCTGACGGCGTTACATTCGTCGCTGTGCTGTCTGCGTGTAGCCACACAGGGCGCGTCGCAGAGGGCCGCCGCTTGTTCAACCAGATGGTCTGGGAACACAAGATCTCCCCAACCATGGAGCACTACACCTGCATGGTTGACCTCCTGGGGCGTGCCGGCCTGCTGAGGGACGCGTCTGAGCTCATCGAGATGATGCCAATGAGGCCGGACCTGTGCATGTGGGGAGCGCTGCTTAACGCTTGCAGGACTCACGGGGATGCCACCGTGGCCGAAGCTGCCATAGCCAAAGTTCTGCAGGTTGAGACGGTGACCACCGGCAATCACACGCTGATCACAAACCTGTACGCCGCGTGCGGGATGTGGGACGATTCCAAGAGGGTGAGGGTGATGACGAAGGAGGCAGGGTTGAGGAAGAATCCGGGGCAGAGCTGGATTGAAGTGAGGAACAAGGTGTTCTCCTTCACGGCCGGGAGCACGCCGCTGTCTGAAGCTGAGGAGGTTTTCAGGGTGCTTGACGATCTGTATGGGGAAATGGAAGACGAGACGCGTGCCATGTATGATGCCATTGCAAACATTGTGTAGAACAATTGCCATGTACTGTGGCAAGATTGCTAGGTCATGCAAGTGACACATCTCATCAATCTCATCATACAGAAAGGAGCGAACAGAACTGAAGAGCTAGGCTACTAAAGGTGTTGTGGACCGAAGAAGAGCATCAGGGTCTTGCAGATCTCCGACGGCTCCGCCATCGCGCCGTTGCCGTAGTCCCCGCAGGCCAGACGCTTGGTGACCGGCTGGACGATTGACATGCCGAGCTCGCGCAGGACGGCGAGGTGGCGCGCAGTGAAGGGGTTGTCCCACATGAAGGTGTTCATGGCCGGCGCGACGTAGACGGGCTTGCTGTAGTCCCAGGCGCGCACCACGCAGGTGAGGAGGTTGTCGCACAGCCCGCCGGCGACCTGGCAGCAGGCAGATTTGTCAGCGGTGGCCGGTGGGGGGCGAGCGCTGACAAGCGGCAGCTGGCGGGCGTGCGTACCTTTGCGAGGGTGTTGGCCGAGAGCGGCGCGATGACGAGGGCGTCGGCCCACCGGCGCAGCTCGATGTGCAGGACCTCGTTGCCGACCCGCCTCCAGCGGGACCACTCGTCGTCGTCGGTGTAGAGCGGGACGCCGTCGGGGAAGGAGGCCCCGTCGATGAAGTGCAGGGCGGACGCGGTCGCCACCGCGCGGACGTCCGCCCACTCGGCGACGCTGCGGCAGAGGCCCTCGAACTTGATGGCGGCCACGCTGCCGGAGGCCGCCAGGAGGACGCGAGGGCGCCGTGGAGGCCCGCCCCCCGACGACGCCGGCTCCTGGTGGGCGGCCATCGCAGTAGCAAATGTGGAGGGGGAGAAATGCACAACGGAGGCAAGACCGACCAGCGGAACCTAAACCTTACCTATAGGGAAGAGGCGTAACCTAAATCTAAACTATCTTCTGAAGGTCTATTTGTATAAAGGGTTGTCTTTTAGATCTTGTTGTTGAAAATCTTTTGCCTATAGCGCTACCCAAAGACGAATACGTCTTGTATTTTGAATCGCTGTTGGCGGAGGAACTGCTCGTAGAAGAGTACTCGAAGGAAGCAGGCAAATCCAATTCAATTCAAGCTGGATAGGCGGGAGCCGGGACCGGGAGGCAACGGATTAATGATGTACTCGATCACCGCAATTTACTCCTTGTTATTATACACCACGTATGCAGAATTCCAAACACGCACACGTCTCTTCTTCAGTTGATTGATACCGCTCTCACGTCACGGCCAAGCTGAGCCGTCATCGTCAACTGCATATCTCGCCGGGCAACAGAAGCCCTAGTAGTGAGTAGTGATAGTGTGATATCAGGGAGGCAGGGGCGACATATATCACGACATAGCTCTTTTAATAATCTGCCCAGAATCATGCCAGGAGACTCCTTAGTGACAGGGGCCCAACATTTAGCCTGTTCGTTTGGCTGGGCTTGTTCGTTGTTAGATCGTGAAGAAGTACTGCTGACTGGTTTGATGTGAGAGAAAAATACTGTTCCAGCTAAAAATTTACGATGGTTTACGAAGGAATAATCCCAACCGAACAGGCTGATTATTAGACGAGCGAGGCGTTACACCAAACGGTTCGATGCAGGCATACAGCAGCTGCTCTCAAGGAGCAGGCTAGGATTTCATGTTTAAACTACCCATGTTGAGATCTGCTATCGTCAGTGAGCCCAGGTAGGGGCATTGTGTCCTACTTGGACGAGAACGATCTCAGCTTCCCGTTGCGCTGCCAGAAGGCGGTGTCCTCCTTCTCCTTAGCCAGCAGCTCCTCGAATGATATCTCTTGAGCCTCCATCTCCATAGCACTGAGCTCCATGATCTGCCATGGTAAACAGTCCAGAGTCTGTCACAACCAGGACGCCGAGGTGGTTATAACTTACAAGGAGAAGAGAAGCGACATACCATTTTGTATGCGGGTGACTTCTGAAGACGCTCTTGAATATAGTTGTAGATGGCGGCATCTTTCTTTAGATTATCACGCTCGGTTTCCAATCTACGTACCTATGAAAATGCGCAAGGGTACACAGAGGAGTAATAAACTGAAGTTAGCAGAGACAGTATGCAGCCCTACACATAAAGTTTGCTTAGTTGCCTTGGCAATTTTATCCCCCTTAAATGGCTAACCTGTTCAAAGAGGCGTTCGTATGAAGACCTACAGTTTCGATGGTTGGATAGCATTGCCTTCTTTATTTTGAAGCTTCTTTGTACATTCTCGTACCTGATAAGATCATAGGAATAAGACATTACTGGAGGTTTGCAAAACATTTGAAGTTGTGGATGTCGGAAGGTAAGTTTCATGTAAAGAGCAACGTACCTCTGCAGCAACTCGTTTCTAGCATCTATGAGACAGTTAACAAACTCATTAACCTGAAAAAACAAGGCAGAGAGCATATACCTTTTGTAAGTACACTCTGTGACTTATAGAGACCGATGAGGAAAAAAGACATATCAGTGATCGCAAACATAGTAGAATATTCATTAGGTGCACTGAAACTAGTTGTGACCCTAATAAAAACAAAATATGCAAACCTATGGTTATAGACTTATAGTGGACATTTTTGTTTATGAAGTTACTTTTTTCGTCGATCTGAGATTCTGAATTTAGTCATGCAATTTTGTAATACCAGCTTTCTTCTATTCTTTTTAAGGACCTGTATTGCAGCATTACAGTCCATACTCCATACCCTTTCGTAAAGCAATCCTGGGTAAAATGCACGAGATACACAACGCTAGTTCTGACCTAAAATCGTAGGCTGACACCCATAGTTATGTGACAGGTGACAGAACACTTGGATGAATTAGCATACAGAAAGCTAAAAGAATACCAGGAGAAGCATCACCCGTTGCAATAAAGTCATTGGCTTTTACGACCTATTCCCTCTGTTCCAAATCATATGTCGTTTTGGCTTTTCTATATTTAGACATAGCATATATCACTACTCCAGCAGTACTTTTCAGCGAACGAACAGTGTTTTCTTCTCACAACAAATCTGCATAATCAGCAGCATAAGCCAAGTTTCAGCGAAACGAACAGGGCCCTAGGTGTATAGAAAAAAAGCTATGTACCTAGGAAAGCTAAAACTGTTGGAGGTAACACAGACTTGATTAGCCTGAAAAGCCACAAACCCCAGGCCGTCTCCTTGATTATATATAGAGATAGACATTGCATTGATTACAAACAGCTCACTAGAGCATAGCTAATCAGATAAGTGCCTTGGCAGCCGTACACACCTCTTGGGCTGCCCAAGGTCTTTAATGACTGTAATTAACTAGCATAGTTATCTAGGAAGTGCTTAGGAAGCAGGGCTTATTAACTACATTTCTTCTCCTAAGACCTGCTTCAACTAATCTTGATCTCCTTGATCCCAATCCTACTCCTCATCTCTTCCAGCTTGGTTTTGCCCAAGGCTTTAGTCAGTATATCAGCGAGCTGATCTGCAGTGGGAATGAACTCTGTCTTGATGCTACCTTCTTCCACACAATCTCTGATGAAATGATGCTTGATTCTAATATGCTTGCTCCTGTCATGGAAAACAGGATTCTTTGCCAAAGCCAGAGCAGACTTATTGTCTACTTTGAGTTCCACCACCTCAACTTTTCTTCCCAACAAATCTGCAAACAGTCTTGACAACCACAAAGCTTGGGTTGTAGCTGTTGTCATCGCCACATATTCAGCCTCACAGCTAGACAGAGCAACAACTCTCTGTTTGACAGACTGCCAGCTGACCAGGCTGGTTCCAAGGAAGAACAAACATCCAGTTGTGCTTTTGCTTGAATCAACATCTCCAGCCAAATCTGAATCACTGTAACCCACAAACCTTGCTTTGCCTGTTGTTCTGGTGTAGCAGAGCCCATGATCTAGAGTACCAGCCAGGTATCTCAAGATCCTCTTCATAGCCTGAAGATGTTCAATTGTTGGCTTCTCCAGAAATCTGCTAACATACCCTACAGCAAAAGCCAAATCTGGTCTTGTGTGCACTAGGTATCTCAAGTCATCAACCAGGTCTTACAGATCGAGTTGGATTTACTTCCTTTGTTTACTTTCCTTGCTCAATTTCAACCTTTCTTCCATGGGTGTGGTGGCTGGATTACAACCCCGCCATACCACCAAGCTCAAGTATCTTCTTAGCATAATGGGTTTGCTTGAGAGTGATGCTCCCCTCGATTGTCTCACCTCAACTCCCGATAGAAAAGACAGAAGACCCAAATCACTCATTTCAAAGGTTTGCTTCATCTTTGCCTTGAAAGTTTCAATCTTCTCACGATTGACTCTGTGATGATCAAATCATCAACATAGACTCCAATTACCAGTAGGGAGTCACCCGATCCCTTCCTGTGCATATAGCAGACTTCATACACATTCTCGCTCAAAACCCATCTCGCTTGAGAGTCAAGTCAAGCTTGGCATTCCATGCCCGAGGAGCTGTCTTAGGCCATACAGAGCCTTGTGCAGCCTGTACACTTTCTTCTCCTCTCCGGTACTACAAAACACGGAGGTCAGTAACATAACATAAACCTCCTCCTGGAGTTCTCCATTCAAAATGCGACTTCACATCCATGTGATGTAACGCCCATCCCTCTTGTGCCGCTAGGGCAAGCAAAACACATGACCGATTCCATCCTTGCAACCGGTGCAAAAGCATCTTCATAATCAACTCCTTCCTGCTTTGCACAAAACCACGGGCCACAAGTCTTGCCTTGTGCCTAATTACAGCTCCATGTTCATCCTTCTTCAGCTTAAACACCCATTTCAGTGAAATTGGACGGTGACCAGGACGGGGAGAAACAAGTTCCCAAGTCCCATTCCGCTCTACTGATCTCAGCTCCTCCTTCATCGCTGCTTGCCAATCTGGATCATCTTTGGCTTCTTCATAGCTTGTAGGCTCACCAGAATGGGTGAGATTCGATTCTACAGAAAACAATACCGGCTGCCGGGCGGAGGGGTTGGTTGATCACCAATAATGTCATGAATCTTCCGATACCGGAGTTCTTCATCGTCGTGGTAGGCATCCACC